GGCAATCTCTTTCAAAAAATAGAAGAGAAGGGACCATATCCCAACCCATTCTATGAGGCCAGTATTACCCTGATACAAAAACCAGACAAGAATATCACAAGAAAATAAAACTACAGACCAATATCTCCCACACATATAGATGTAGAGTCCTCAACAATTACTAGCAAACTGAACCCAGAAACATGTAAAATGGATTGTATACTATGACTAAGTGGGATTATCCCAGGAGTGCAAGATGGGTTTGACATCTGAAAATCAAAAACTAATATAATACACAATATTAATATAATAAAAGACAAAAACCATATGATCATCTCATCTAAAAAAAATGATTTGACAAAATCCAATGCTTTTTGATAAGGAAAACACTCAAAATCTAGGAATAAGAAGGAAATTTCATCAACTTGATAAAAGGCATCTACAAAAAACCATCATCTAACACCATACTTAATGATAAAAGACAATGCTTTTATCCTAAAATCAGGAGCAAGAAAAGGATGTCTGCTCTCTCCAGTTCTATTTAACAATGTATAGCCAAGGCAGGTAGGCAAGAAAAAGAAATGAAAGGCATCCAGATCAGAAATGAAGGAGAAAATGATCTCTATTTGCAGAAGACATGATCTTTCATATAGAAAATTCTAAGGAAACCACCAAAAGACTATTACAATAAATGAATTCAGCAAAGTTGCAGGATACAAGATTAATATCAAAAATCCACTATATTTCCATACACTAGAAATGACAAATCCAAAAATGAAATTAAAAAAAGAATTCCGTTTACAATAGCGTCAAGAAGAATAAAATAGGAATAAACTTAACAAATGAAGTACAAGATTTGTACATTGAAAACTACGAAACTTTTTTGAAAGAAATTACAGAAGATTTAAATAAATGCAAAACCACTCCACATTCATGGAATGGAAGACAATGTTGTGAAGATGACAGTACTCTCCAAATTGATCAACAGATTCAATACAATCCCTATCAAAATGCCATCAGGCTTTTTTCCTTTTTGCAGAAATTGTCAGCTGATCCTAAAATCCACATGGAAATGAAAAGAACCCACAATAACCAAACAATCTTAAAAAGGAACAAAGTTGGAGACTCACGCTTCCTAATGTCAAAACATACTACAAAATTATAGTAATCAAGACAGTGTGGTATTGGCATAATGATAGATACATATATCAGTGTAAAGGAATTGACAGTCCAGAAATAAACCCTTTCATTTATGGTTAATTGAATTTTGACAAGGGTGCCAAGACAGTTCAATAGAGAAAGAAATTCTTTTCAATAAATGGGCTGGGACAACTGGATTCCACACGCAAAAGAATGAAGATGGACCCCTTACCTCACACCATATACAAAAATTAACTGAAAATGGATTATAGGCATAGACATAAAAGCTATGACTACTAAACTCTTAGAAGAAACATAGGAGTAAATCTTATGACCGTGGCTAGGCAACAGTTTCTTAGATATGACACCAAAAGCATGAACAACAAAAGTAAAAATAGATCAGCTAGAGCATCAAAAATCCATTCTGTGTCATGAACGATGACTTCATTCATCATTTTGTTCTTCAAATAATACCATCAAGAAAGTGAAAAGACAACCCACAGAATGGGAGAAAATATTTGCTAATCATATGTCTGATAAGACACTTGTACACGGAATATATAAAGAACTTTTACTTACAACTCAATAATAAAAAGACAAATAATTCAATTACAAAATGGCAAAGGATTTAGATAGACATTTCTCCAAAGAAGATATACAAATGACCAATAAGCACATTATGCTTAGCATCACTAATCGTTAGGGAGATGCAAACTAAAACCACGAGATACCACTTCATATTCACTAGAATGGCTAAAATATGAATGACAGTTTAACAACAATGTTGTCAAGGGTGTAGAGAAATTAGAACTCTCACACATTCGTGGTGGGAATGTAAAATGATGCTGCCATTTAGGAAATGTTTTGACAGTTCCTCAAAAATAGAGTTATTATATAACTCAGACGGTTAACACAATTAATTACTTACATGCAAATTAAACTATTCTTAGTTACCACTATATCTCCATTCGTCTGGCTAAAGTTAAAAGAGTGACAATACCAAGTGTTGACAAGAATATATAGAAACTTCTATTTTCATATATTGCTTACGGGCAGTAATTGGTACAACCACTTTGCAATACTCTTTGGTATATACTAATACTAAATATATATAAAGCCTACTCCCTACCACTTCCACTCTTTAGTATGTATATACTCAGAAGATTTAGGGCTTATGTCAACCAAAAGATAGGTATAAGAATGTTCATAGCAGCATTATTTTATTTTATTTTATTTTATTTTGTTAAAGATTTTATTTTTTTCCTTTTTCTCCCCAAAGCTCCCCAGTACATAGTTGCATATTCTTTGTTGTGGGTCCTTCTAGTTGTGGCTTGTGGGATGCTGCCTCAGCGTGGTTTGATGAGCAGTGCCATGTCTGCGCCCAGGATTCGAACCAACGAAACACTGGGCCGCCTGCAGCAGAGTGCGCGAACTTAACCACTCGGCCACGGGGCCAGCCCCACAGCATTATTTTAAAAAACACCAAACTAGATATAACAAGAATGTCCATAAAGAGTACACTTGAGGGGCTGGCCTGGTGGCGCAGTGGTTAAGTTCACACATTCTGCTTCTCGGTGACCTGGGGTGCACTGGTTCAGATCCCACGTACGGACATGGCACTGCTTGGCAAAAGCGATGCTGTGGTGGGTGTCCCACACATAAAGTGGAGGAAGATGGACATGGATGTTGGCTTAGGGCTGGTCTTCCTCAGCAAAAAGAGGAGGATTAGCAGTAGTTAGCTCAGGGCTAATCTTCCTCAAAAAAAAAAAAAAAGAATACATTTGATAAATAGTTTGTGTTGTGGTAATACAATGGAATACTAGACAAAACTTATCTACGTTGATACAAGTCAAAATGCTGGTCACCTTGTGGGAGAGTATTAACTGGGGACCTGCTGGGGTACTAGAAATGTTTCATATGCTGATCAGGGTGGTGGTTAAACATGTACATATGCGTGTGTGTGTGTGCTTAAAAATTTTTCTGAGCTGTCCATGTATTTTTATATCTTACTGTATGCATTTTATAACATGGAATTAAAAAAGTGAGAATAGATTTATGTCAGGATGTACAGCCTAGAAACGTATAAAAATCTTACTTCTGAAGTAACAACAAGTTTGAAGGGATAGGGGAGGAGATGGAATTTCCCTGAGTATATTTTTTCATGTAGTTTTAATTTTTGAATCACATTAATGTTTTAAATATCAAAAAATAAAATATCAATAAAGATGGAAACAATTTTTAGGGGTTAGTGGCAGAAACTGAGATGTCGACAAGTAATTTCATCTTCTGTTTTACAACTTCCAGTCTTCCTTGGAGTTAGTTTGGGATCATATGACTGGTACTGGCCGAAAAGCTTCAAAAAGGAGACTTTGGGCTGAAACAGAAGAGCTGACTTTATTCCTTCCCTTGCTTTGGCCATTATGGCGATCGCATCCTGAGATGTGGAGCCAAAGGACGGATCCTGGATCTCTAAGTCACCACGTGGAGCACGACTGCCTTAAAGAATTATTCAACTTGTATTGGAGTTTTTGAGAGTCAGAAATAAAACCCTTTTGATTTGAGGACTTGTTTGTTGCCTTAGCATAGCCTAGCGTTTTCCAACAGATAGAGAAGATGTAAAATTGAGGTGATTTGTTGAGAGTGAGGAGACGTAGTGACTATATTAGGGGAATTGGAGAGAGTGAGATAAAGGTTTTCTATACACTTCAGGAGAATGGGAACGAGAACATTTATAGAATATTAGAGCTAGAAGAAAACTAGATACATTATTCTATTCTTTTCATTTTGAAGACAAAGATACTAGGAGATACCAGAGAGACTAATGAGTGGGTCAAGGTCACAATAACAATTAGTGGTAGAGACAGGATTACAATCTAGGTTTCTGAGACCTTGAGAAGAGTCTCAGGGTTAGGCTGCAGCTACTTTTGAGAGCAGCTAAACATTTGCTTAGGGTCCCTTAGGATATTTTGAACTTCCTTCAGTTTCCTGGTGAAGGCTCTAGATGGGAAGAGCAGCTATCTGAGCCCCCAATTCTGAACCCACAACATAATCCCTTTTTCATTTCCAATTTACTGTCTTTCCTCTTAGGCAGTCCACTGTGGGTGACTTGAAATAATCAGGAAATATCTTTTACAAGAAATGGCACTTTCACTTTTCACTCTATACCTCTTATTGTTTAGATTCTTTTCTTTTCTTTTCTTTTTTTAATTTTTTTAAAGATTGGCACCTGAGCTAATAACTGTTGCCGATCTTCTTTTTTTTTTTTACTTTTTTTCCCCAAATCCCCGCAGTACGTAGTTGTACATTTCAGTTGTGGGTCCTTCTAGCTGTGGCATGTTGTTTGGATTATTTTTTACGATTCAAATCACTTGTGTAAACGAAGTAGACAAAAAAATAAAATGTCCTTGTTGAGAATTTTGCTCCTCTATCTTTCATGTTTTTTGGGTGGACAAGCTCTTTCTCCTCCCACGTGTAAGAATAAGACTAAGAAATGCTTGTGGCATTGTTTGAATGAATGTCTGGAGGGCCCAGGTCGTTTTTAAAAATGACAGATTTATTTATACAAATGTGTTCTTTTGATTTATAAAATCTCTTTCTGCTTCAGCATTGCTCAAGACTGGGTGACCACCCGCAAGTCCTCCCCCTGCCCTGAAAAATCTCTATCTATGATCTGGGTAACTTCCCCCTTGTGTCTTCCTCAGGCTCCACTGGCTATATCTGATCCTTTCCTCCCAGCCCCTCATCTCTCTACTTGTGAGCTATGGCCACCACAGGTAGATACTTCCCGACCTCTCTTTTCCATCTCCACTCTGACCATGGAGATTACAGGAGGTCATTGTCACATCATCATTGGCCAGCCAATCAGGTGGGCGCTTCCCTTCAATGAACCCCTTGCTCCAGAGGAGTTCTCAGGCAGCTTCAATGGAAGGAGGGAGCCAAGAAGGAGGCCTGGCATAAGTCCAAAGATGATCATTACAACATGGATTGTGTACATTTTTTCCCGGAAAGGTGTAGGGTTCCCCTTCCCACCAAAAATCAGTTCGGTAAGTGGAGTTGGTGGTAGACAGGTGGAGTTGTTTCTCATGTATCTTCTCCCTTCGGAGCCCCCTGCTGCACTTCCAGAGAGATCTTACAACATATAACTTTGGACAAGAATGGAGGAGGGGGCTGAGTCTCTAGGTGTCCTGAGGGCACCAATTTACCAATTTGTTGCAGGATGTTGAAGTTGTGGAAAGTGAGGCTGTGTCTGTAGTACAGCACTGGTTGAAAAAAGTGAGTACGATTCCTCTATGACTCAGGGTACCCAAAATTCTAGAGAGCTGCCCTCTAAGGGGCAGGGATCTGGACTCCCCTCTCCCTAGAGCCGGGAAACTCAATCAAGTTCATCGCCAAACACCCTGCCTAGAGCTGTGTCTAACTCACCAAATGGCCTAGGAGATGCTGGGGCTTGTGTCCTTGTAAAAGATGTGTTGGAATACGCTAGCCTGGTCCTGTTTCTCGAGCATACTGGAGGCAGAGTTTCAGACCCGTTGCCCCCAGCTGCAGAATGTCTCAGGAATACCTTGGGATAGGGCCAGGGACGTAGTGAGTTCCTTGGAATTCCACGGGAGGGTAGCCATAAATGAGCTGATTGCAGCACCTGTGAGGTACAGAGTGTATTTGTGGACACTCGGCATGTGTGTTGTGGTGAAGAGGAAGGAAAAAGAGGGAAAACTGGAGATCAGATACAGAGTGCCACTTTCAGAGGGAAGTTACTCACATTTCAGACTGAAGAAGAGGCTTCCCAGGACATAAAGGAGAAGATGTCCACCAACGGCCCTCCCACCCATGGCCAAGATGTACATGTGACCAGAGATGTGGTAACTGAGAGTCTGAGACAAACCATTCTGGACCTGTGCGGGGAGTGGGGGGAGGTGGGAGGTCATACTGCAACGGGTCTTGGGCAAGTGGGCAGAACTTGTCCAGGAGGGGCTCCATCCTGGCCAGGGGGTCCTTGCTCGCAGTACTCATGCAGACCCTACTTGGATTTCGTAGGTCAAGCACCATCTCTCAAAGTCTAATTTGTTAGCAAACCAGAGTCAAGAGGTCCTGGAGGAAAGAACAAGAATCCAGTTCATAAGATGGAGGTAAGCATCTCATTTTTCCTGAGCCAAAGTGTGGGGAGGGAAGGGCAGAGAAGGCACAAGCGCCCTCTTCAGGATTCCTGGACAAGACAGACCCCAGCTGTTCTTCTCTAGAGATGTAACTTCTTTGGCTGAGGAATTCTTCAGCCTTACTTTGGGGTCTTAAGGGAATATTTTTGCTATCTTGAAAGCCCAGCTCATTGCTAAATTTTAAAATGACATGAGGGGTTGGAAAACTGGGCTTGCTCACCATTTCTTCAGTGCTTCTGAATAAATTTCAGACTTCTGTTATTTTTGCACTTGATTTCTTAGAAGTGGCTGCACTTTAAAGAGCTAAAGGAAAATAAGCTCTCAAAATGCAAAAGCCAAAGCCCTCATCTGCCACTGAGGTGTGTGGAGGTTTCTCAGCGCCCGAGGGTGGAATTCTGTGCTCCACACTAGGGGGCTTTGAAAGCCCCTCTCTGTGTCTGCTGGAGCACAGACCATCCCCCTCCACCTTTCCTGGTTCTAAAGATGCTACGACTCAAGGTGGAGGGCGCTGGGTTTGGAACTGGGCTCACTCTTTCTGGCAGAGCTTCCCTATTTCCTTTCAGGGACTTGTGCTCACTCGGGGTCTCTTTTCCAAGTAGAAGAATTGTGGGATTAAACTGGGCCTTTGCGAAACTGTGAGGGAGCCCCCTCTAATCTCTGTCTTCTTCCTGTCCGTGTTGCCATCGCCAGCTTTGCTCTCTTCTATCAAAGAGGATATATTTCTCAAGAAATGTATTTGTGCTTCAGGATATCCAGTTTTCACGTGGGCATTAGCATTTTAAGAGAGGATTCAAAGGCTCAGTGATTACACAGCAGGGAGGGATAATTCATGGAGGGATTTGAGACCTCCCTGGGAAAGATTTTTGGGCTGGGGAAACCTTCCAAGGTCCCTGAAGTCATAAACGTTGGTGACTGTAATCCAACCACCGCCCTCCACAAGGGGGCTGGTCCGTCCCGAAGTGGCTGCACTATGGAACTCGAGATGTCGCGGTTCCTTGGTTTAGATAATGTGAACATCATCTTCCGACTTTCTTTCCCGCCCCTCCTGCTTTTTTCTCCTCAAATCCCCCCAGTACATAGTTGTATATTCTAGGTGTAGGTCCTTCTAGTTGTGGCATGTGGGACGCTGCCTCAACATGGCCTAATGAGCCTTGCCATGTCCCCGCCCAGGATCATTACCCTGGGCCACCGAAGGGAAGCACGCGGACTTAACCACTCAGCCACGGGCCGGCCCCCAACTTTCTTTAAACCTTAGCTGTGCAGCATAACTAGGTTAAAGCTTTAGAGCCAAGCTACAGGAATCACCATCAATCGTCTATAAATAAATTTTCCACTCTGGATTTTCTACGGAGGTTTTTTTTTTAAAGATTTTATTTTTTTCCTTTTTCCCCCAAAGCCCCCCATACATAGTTGTATCTTCTTAGTTGTGGGTCCTTCTAGTTGTGCATGTGGGACACCACCTCAGAGTGGCTCGATGAGCAGTGCCATGTCCGCGCCCAGGATTCGAACCAATGAAACACTGGGCCGCCTGCAGCGGAGCATGAACTTTACCACTCGGCCACAGGGCTGGCCCCTCTATGGAGATTTTAAGCCAATAAACTCTGCCTGGTTCCCCCTACAATCCATTGGTTTTGGTACCCTCCTGTTAGTTTCAGTAGGTATAGTCTGTAGTCAGGGAATACATGTCCCTTTATTAAGCATCAATGAGTACTCATTTATTTGGTAGATGTGTGCTGACCATCTGATGTTTGCTAGGCCCTCTGGAAGATAGAGAAAAGGATAAGATGGAGTCCCCAGTTTCAAAGGGATAAAAGTTAACTAGGTGGATAAGGTGTGTGAATATTAGAGAAGTCATGAGGAATACCTGTGAGAGCACAGCATGGGAGACCCAGGGCACACGCATTCTAGGCGTTGCCACCCAGGGTACTCAGAAGAGCTTTCTAGGAGGACATTTGCTTGGACTGACCTATGAACTGGGCTCTGGCTAGAAAAATGGGAGCCAGGAATGGGGCCCCCCACAGATTGCAAGAGCCTTGGCCACTTGGTCAGTCCCATCTGGCTTCCAGGGCCCAGTGCTGTGGCCTCCCGCCCCCTTTCCACCTAGGGCTGGGGTAATCTCTCCCTCTTGTGGAATGCTTCCATGCTCTCTTAGCTCTCTCTTTGGGCACTAACCCAGCCTCGCCTTGGGTGGGTGGTATTTGTGAGCACATTTGTCTTGTTAGAGGCAGCATCAATACTGTCTCCACATTGAAAGCCCGAAGCCCCTAGAAGAAGGTGTTATCCAGAGAAGGCAGTTTCAACAGACACAGACACAGGGCATTCAGTGGACAGGCTGGTTTTGCTAGAGTGGAGGGTCTGTGGGAGGAGAAGGGAGTACAGAGTTGGGAAGGACGCGAAGCGGACCATAGAGAGGAAGGCAAATCCAGTATCGTGAAATAAAACAGAAACAGCAGCAGCCATGAGGTATCTGTAGCTTCTTTGTGACAGAGTTTTCTGGCAGTATTTCTAAATCCTAGTGAATATGGCACAATGTTGATCGTAAAGAGCTGATAACGAGGTTGGAGAGGCATTCAGAAGGGGCGAATTCCACATCTTACAGGTCCACTGACTGCTGTGTAACTCTAGTAAGGGTGCTTAACCTCTCTGTTTCCTTGACTCTCCTTAGGACCATTTGCTACCTGCTCAAGATTATCGGGTGGCTCAGGGGTACTTGGTTAGTGAAAAGAATGCTTTGTGCTCCTAATACAAGAAGGGTGAAGGAGCAGCTCACAAGTCAAGGCGACGGAGTCAGAACTATTGTTCATATGATTGCAGCTCTAGCAGTTTCACAATGCCTAGTAAGAAAGAGACTCAGGAATCCCAGTGTTTGAATGGTGTTTTGCAGCCATACCCGTATCTTCCAAGTGCCAAGTGAGGTGAGAGACGATGTTCTGCGAGAGCGAATAGAGCAGGTGAGACAAAGGTAAGCGTTTCGGGACAAGTTGTTTCATCTTCCTGACGGGAGGTAGCGGGGTGAGGCGGCTGCTGGCTCTTTTCTGTGGGTCTCCCTTAGCTCCAGCCCAAGCCTGGGGCCTTTCTGGGCTGAGACCCTCTTGGCTGGACCCTGCTCGTAGGCCCAGATGGGGCGAAGGCCCAGGCACGGGCCCTCTGCCTGGCCCAGCTCCGAGCATGGTCTGGGGAGGTCTGCCCCTGCAGCCTCCCTGCGGCTCCATCCCTGTCCTCTGTCCCCCGAAGCATAAGCCGTCTTACGGACGAAGCATCTCAGGAGCTTCGCAACAGAACTTCCTACTCTGACTGCTGAGAGCAACAGGCAGGAGAGCAGCAGGTGAGGGGCCGGGCAGAGAAGATGGTGTCCTCGGCTGGGAAGTGTTGTGCTGGGGTGAGGGCTCCATGAAAAGGTTTAGCCTTTCCCTCTTGGTGAGGGGCTCCACTGGGCCATTGGGGGTGGGGGAAAGGCAGCTGCCTTAGGCCCCTGCGAGGCTTCTCTTAAATTTCTTGAAGGACTCAAGGTCAAGTTCAGAGTGGCCTCTCTGACTGTTTCAACTGTAGTGTCATAGACCAGTGCTTCTCAGTCGTCTCAGGCCTTAAGGTCACGTGGGGATCCTGTGTGAGCAGGCTGTGGTGGGGCCTGCATTCTGCCTTTCTCATGCTCCCCAGCATGGCCACTGCTGGTCAGCTGACCCCACTTTGAACCACAAGATTACCAGCACTGGAGTCAGGGGCCAGGGGGCATAGGTTTTGGCCCTGTCACAAATTAGGGCCATAACTCTGAGTCACAGAGCCTCTTGGTCTGCACTTGTTACCAGTGGTCATAACAGTGGCTGTTCACGTGACTCTGGAAGGTGGCAGGCCAACAATAGATGCTGCAGCCACAGGAGCTGTCCATTCAGGACATGGTTACTGTACCCCCGCCAGGGGCGCAGGACCAACTTGGCTGTCGTGGGGGTGCTGATGGAGTGACTTACACACAGCTCACTCCCAGCATGCTTAAAGGAGGGCCATGGAGATGTATATAGGCATTTATCAAACACTTATTATACGCCAGCTTCTGCACAGGCACTGTGTCAAGGTTTCTCATCTGATCCAAAACAACCTTAAGAGGAGGGCATCGTTCATGCCCAGTATACAGACGGCAGAGGTTAAGCCAAGCCTTGGGAGCAGATTCTGGGTTCCAGTCCAGCTCCATCATGGGCAAGTTACTTTATGCCTCTGTACCTCAGTTTCCTCAGACTTCAGAACGTGGTGCTGAGGGCGATGGTGTTCAGCACATGGTACGTGTCATGTCAAGGGCTTGCTGATATGAACAGAGATGAGGAATCTGAGGTGCTTGCAGGGCCTTCTGAAGTTGGGAGAAGCAGAGCAGGGCTTTACTCCGGGCTCTGTCTGACACACTGCTGCCCTTTCCTCCCCTGGGTTTTCTGCTCTCTGCACCCAGCTCTATGGATGTCCAGCAGGCTTAGTCACCGTCAACCCTGCCTCTTAGCTGTCCTACATTTCTGTGACATGCCCCTTGGGCATTCCTCTGCTTTCCAGGTTGATGTCCTTTGGAGTCAAGGAGCAGCCTGTGTCAGAAGAATGTCCATCCCCCTTGACCTGCGAGCGACACCTGGGCAGAGAGAATCCAGTGGGTGAGCCCTTCCTTGTGACAGTGGCAGCACTGGAATCTTTTTGCTGAATTGCTAATAAAGAGCCATGCTATTTAACCACCATCCTGGCCTCTGGTGTGAGTGCTCTGCCATTCATGCATTCATTAGACCACCAGACCGATGCCATTCACAGATCCATCAGACTCAGCACCTCAGGGGCGGCCTCTGGGACACAGCATGCAGGCCCGTGGGGAGACCACACCAGGCCACCAGAGCGCTGTGTGATGTGGGCTATGCCCAGTGATCCTGGAATGCTGGGGGTGGCACAGGGGGCAGGGGAGGGGACTTCCTGAGGGAAGCATGGCTTGTGTGCTTCACTCAAGTATTTATCTTCATTTATTCCTTCTCTGGTGCTCTTGCTTTCTTTATGTCGATCCAATTTTCTGACCTGTATCTTTTAACCTCTCTGCAGGACTTATTTCTTGCAAGGTAGGACTACTGGTGACAATTTCCTTTGATTTTTGTTTGTCTGAGAAAGTATTTTGACTTCACTTCTGAAAGACAGTTTTGAAGGATGCAGAATTCTAGGTCTTTTTGTTCATTTTCTTTCAACACTTTGAATATTTCATTCCACTCTCTTCGAAGCTTGCATGGTTTCTGAACCCTCTCTGGGTAAGGCTTTTCTCCTCCGCTTTCAGGAGTTTTTTCTTTGTCTTTGATTTTCTGCAGTTTGAATATGATACGCCTAAGTGTGGATTTGCTGGTATTTACCCTCTTTGGTGTCTGAGCTTCCTGGATATGTTGTTTTGGGTCTGTCATTACTTTTAGAAAATTCTCAACTATTACTTCAAATAGTTTTTCTTTTTTTCTTCTTCTTCTCGTGTTCCCATTACTCTTATGTTACACCTTCTGTATTTGTCCCACAGTTCTTGGATATTCTATTCCATTTTTTTCATTCTTTTTTTTCTTTGCTTTTCAGTTTGAGAAAGTTTTGACATTTCTTAAAACTCACTGATTCTCTCCTTGGCTGTGACTAGCCTACAGATGAGCCTGTCAAAGGCCTTCTTCATTTCTGTCACAGCGTTTATTATTTCTGGCATTTTCTTTTGATTTTTCTATGGGTTCCCGTCTCCCTGCTTACCTTTCCCATCCGTTCTTGCATATTGTCCACTTTTTCCATTAGAGCCTTTAGCCTATTTATCACAGCTGTTTTAGATTCCCAGTCTGATAATTCCAGCATCTCTGCATGTCTGAGTCTGGTTCTCATGCTTGCTCCATCGCCGCAGACTGCATTTTTACCTTTCATCGTACTTGCAAGTTCTGCTGAGAGCTGGCTGTGGTGTCGGAGGTAAAGGAGCCGCGGCAGACAGGCCTTCTCTGCGAGGGCGCCTATTTCCCCATCAGGAGCTGGGCTGTGTTTACTCCTTCCAGCAGCTGTGGTTTCAGAGGCTGAAATCTCCTTTAGCGGCCTTTTTTCTGTCCACCCTGTCGTCTTTGGGCCTCCCTAGTGAGCTCTCCTTAAATAGGGCCTGAGGCCTGCAGTGCTTGCTGCTGGCAGCCCCTGTCGTTGCACGGAGCCCTGCTGATGGGGTGGAGTGTGAGCGGAGGGGGGAGCGTCCTGTAACCCTCTGATAGGTCTCAGTTTCTTCATGACCTGTGCTCCTGGCCTGTGACCTTCACAGTGCTTCTCGGCTTCCCCGCCTCCCGCAGGAAGCAGGAGGGGCCACAGCGGCACATTTTCCTCCCCCAGCTAGGTGGGTTCTGACAAAATCATCTTCCTCGAGAGCAGGTCCTTGTTAAGGAGAACAAAATGCTCTGGACAGACTTTAAAATGGCTCTTTCCCCCTCCCCTTGCTGGAAGGAGGGGGAGATTTTTCTCTGATCTTCACAGGATCACCCTGTGAGAACCTGGTGGGGATCCAGGAGGTAACACTCAGAAAGCGAGGGCTCGTCTGCGACTGGGCCTCCTGGACGGGCTGACTTTCAAGCTCGTCCACACTGAGCTACCAGCAGCCCCTCCCTTACAGGAGCTCAATCTCCTGCCCTGGTGTCCACGGAGAGTCAGCTCGGGGAGCTGTGGTGCTCTGTATGCACCTGCCTGTCTGTCTCTCCAGTTTCTGGGCCAGCGGTTTGCCCTGTCACCTCCGTTCTCTGAGGGATGTAAGAAGAGTCATTGGTTTTTGGCTTTTCTCACTGTGAGGATGGGAGTGACCACTTCCCAGCCCGTTGCACAGGAGACTGCGAACTGGAGGGCTCCTGCAAGTACTTACTGAGTGTCCATTAGAGTCACGGAGACACTCACGGAGCGCTTCCCACAGCGGGGCCCCATCCAAGCTCTTGTTCCAAGCAGATGCCATTATCATCAGAGGGGAGGCAGCAGGGCACCAGGGGCTAAGCACCTTGACAGGGCCACTCTGCTGACAGAGGCGTGTCACAACCCAGCCTCGCTGCTGGCTCCCAAGCCTCTTTTCCCAACCACGCTGTTACAGTACACGTGGGCCCAGGGCAATAACCCACCCTCTCCTTGTCCTGGTGAAACTTTCATTTTGACGGGGGAGACAAGTTTTAAACAAGCTATTTATTAGTCACAATTTTCATAACTACTAAAAAAGGAGTACTACACATAATGAGAAATTGCTTTAATCAGAGAGGAAAACTGAGATTTATTTTTGACTATTTTTAATCATCGCCCCCATTTTACAGATGAAGAACTGGAAGTTCAGAGAGGTTAAGTAGCTTTCCTGATGTCACACAGCCATTAAATTTGAGTCCAGACAGTCTCATGTCAGAACCAATGCCCTTGTCACTCCACTGTAGTGCAAAGCTGGGGTGAAGGGTCATTTTGATGGTGGTGGTGAGCCTTGGCCAGCCAAGTGCTGTAAGAGAAAGGGGGAGGCTAGAGGTAGGACAGGGCCTCAGGCACGTGGCCCCCATTCCTAGTGGTCAGGAACGCTTGCACTTTCCCTCTCCATCACCTCTCCCTCCCAGCCTCCCTTTGCCTGCTTGCTCCAGAGGAGAAGAGCATGAGGAGGAGTTAAGCTGGCCAGGGCAGTGAGGGCCTCTCAGATGAGGAGAGCAGCAGGGCGTGACAGAGGGAATGCCAACAGGCCCATCTGGCTGGACTGGAGCAGGAGGAAGAGGGGCCATGGAGGAGGCTGTTGAGAGGGGGTCAGGGCCAGGCCAGGTGGCGTGCAGACCTTGTTAAGGACCCCAGCCTGGCCTTCTCCTAGCAGAGACGGGAAGCGCAGGAATGCTGGAAGCAGGAAGTGATCATACATGTGCTGACAGACTGTGGGATGGGATGGGAGCACGGAGCCAAGGAGGGATCCCCTGGGGAGGTGAAGGGAGGTGAGAAGGGGAGAAGAAAGTTCCCGTGGGCACAGCTGGCCACGGGGCTTCCGTTTGCTCAACTAGGGAGGTTGTTCAGTTTGGGTCATGATTTGGATCCCTGTCGGTCATCACAGTGGTGACATCAAGCAGGTGGACAGACCGGACACGGCTGGCAGGTGCGAGTAGGGTGGAGAAATGGCACACGTGAGAGAGCCTGGTGCAAGGAAGAGCTGGGCCATTTTGGGGGAAAGCTGCAGTCCGCATCTCCGTGGGAGGAGAGAGGTACAGAAGAGGTAGCGGGCCTTCCTCAGCAGTCCTGGAGGCACCTTTGCCCTCCCAGCCCCTCACTCAAGCTCTTGGGAAGGCAAAGAGCAGCTCAGTGAGCCGAGCTCCCAGCTGCAGGAGCTCCTGTTCACAGTCCAGCAAAGGGACAAAGCCCTCTTGCTACCGGAACTGAGCGGCTGTTTTGCCAGGAACCACCAGATGGCGCCATTTCCACGCAAAAACAGATTTCCTGAAGGCGAGCTAGTCTCCTGTGAGTCACGTCCTCTGGGTGGCGGGATTTAGATTTTAGCAGCATTTGGGAAGACTAAACAGATGGAAGACCTCTGAGTATCTAATTTAATGATGAATACAGTTCACACCCATGTACATGAACTACACAGGGGCTATTTATTAAAATAAAACTTATTGATCACTTACACCCAGCACCGTGCTAGAGCATGGTCAATATCCCGTCACATCCTCAGGGAGTCAGAGTGGTGGAGGGCTGACATGCAAACAAATGATGCAATGTTTTGGGAAAAGAAACCAAAAGTGGACAAACGGTAGAGCAGAGGAGGGAGAGATTTTCGTCGCTTGGGGGAAAAAAGTTTCTGCTGACTTCCCAGCAGAGGTGACGTTTAAGCAGAAGCTTGGCCAGGCTCTGGCAAAGAAGGAGGGGTCTTCCAGGCAAAGGGAAGACCCATTTGGGAAGGCATGGACGACGTTTAGGGAACCGGGCCTGGCCCTGGATGTCTGGAAGGCAGGGTATGATGGGGGGAATGGCAGGAGAGGAGGTTGAGAGGCACACAGGTATGGATCCTACAGGTGGGTGCAAAACAACCCACGGAAGCTGAGGGGAGGACCCAGAGGAAGGGAGGAGCCCAGTGTGCACTGCTGGCCAGGCAAGGCTTCCCGGGGGAGGGGAGACATGCATACGCTTCCAGTTCAGGCACCTGGAAAAGAGGGGCCCGTCACACTCAGAAGGGAAAGGAGCCTACAGTTGGGGGCTGTGCCCTGGGAGGCGATGGCTGAGGAGCTCACAAGTCCCGTTCGCTCTCTCACACACAAACATCCGGGGTCCGGGGAGAGAGGGAGCCACATTAGTATTAGAGTCGCAGCTCTTTCAAACCTAGGGTGGAAATGAAATCATTAAGTGGCTCAAATGGAGTTTTGTTCTGTGCATGATTAACCCCAGGAGGGGAGTTTGGGAACAAATATGCCTGCTTTACCTGTATTACAGGGGGACTGAGCCACGGTAAATTAAAAGAAAATCACTGGCAAATTTGGGACCAGTCAGCTGTGACCAAGCCATTTGTGTAGTTAAATGGAGCTGAAAGAGCTAATAAAGGCTTTGCGGTCATGGATCCTTCCCGAGGAGAGGGGGAGCTGGGGGCGGGGAGCTGGTCCGGGCTGAAGCACGTGGAAGCCTCACCTGGGACTTCTCCGTGGTTATGGTGATGGCATGGGGGGCGCTGGCCTGCTGTCATCCAGGTGTGTGTCATTTCCTAACAGGACCTTGTTAACTCTAG